ATGATTCATCGCTGAAAACTGCCTAAGACACAGAGCGGTATGAAATACCCAATTAATGCAGGCACAACTATTCTCGAAATTCCTTATAAGAATAAAGCTTTTGCTTCTTATCCACATCGTCTTCTTCTGACAAGTCTGCAAGCTGTTTGGCCAATTCCTGTCATTTTTCTTTTATTTGTTTGGTCAACTTTTGCTTATTCAGAGGTCTGCAAGCTCGAAGTCTAGGATCCAAAAGTTGTCTTCATTCAGTTCTCGAAATTACTGCAACATCATGTTGTTTCAACATCCCTCGTAGCTACCTGCTTTGCGATTCTTTCGGCATTCACTAAGCAGAAGTGAGTCGTCTCGAGCTGTTATTGCTCTTTCGCGACCACATTTACCAGAACATTCAGGGGACAGAGGTAACTACTTTTGCATGTTCCTTCGAATTTGGCATACAGACGCTGGGCTAACACCAATCTTGATTGCAATTTCTGATCCTTTAATACCTTGTTTTAACCAAATTTCAATGATTGCACGCGCTCGTGAGGTTAGGTCACGTAGTTTACCCATTAACATGCTAATTCAACCTACCAACTGTGTCGTTACTTGAGAAGAGAACAAGAAAAATAAAATTAAACAAAATTGCAAATTGATACAAAAGCAGACAAGTGTAATCCAGAAATGTGAACTGTAGCAGGAAATAACAGATTAAGATACGAACGGAACCTTTTGTTTACATAACTACTGTACATGTAACATCAACCAATGTGTTACCCGCAAATAAAATATCAACCATTAAAACAAAAGGTATATCACAAATAATTAATAACATTATTGCTAACCATTTTGGTATAGGTTACCATGACATTGAGAATAGTAAGAAAAACTGGCATTATAAACATGACAAATAGAAAAATGGCCTAAAAATAATAAACGCTGTACACCATGTCGGGAAAAATCCTTTAACACCGAGACCGAGACCTTCATCCGGGAGAAAAGTGGAAACGAACGTATTAGAAAGTTACTGACCGTTATACCGCGTCCCTGATTGACAATCACTGTGTTTTACAGAAACAGGGGAGACGGAAAAACAGTGCATGCCGGTGTAGTTGGGGCAGTGCGTAGTGAGCTACTGACCAAAGACAAACGCTGGCACTAGTCCGAAGATTGTCAGAATTTCACTGAAAATCTGAAGAGGATGTTGAGTTCCGACCTCTTGCTAACTCATTACGACCATACACTTGAAATTGTGGCGGCGGCAGACGCTTCGAACTGTGGCACTGGGGCAGCTATCTTCCACAAATTCAATGACGGTTCAAAAAATGCGGTTGCACATGCAGTCCGGTCATTGTTACTAGCCGAACGGCTTTACGGGCAGACAGAGAAAGAGGCTTTGGCGAAGGTATTCGGCACAAAGAAATTTCGCACAATGCTGTATGGAAGATACATTTGGTTTACCGACCACAAGCCGCTCTTAGAAATATTCGGATCAAAGTCTAGTATACCTACTTATACCACCAAGAGACTGCAGCGTTGGGCTACGTCCTTGCTGGGTTATGATTTTGTAGTGAAATACACGTCTAAAAAGAACATCGGCCAAGCAGACGCTCTTTCCCGGCTACTAGAAAACCGGCAGCATCAGTAGGAAGAGGCTATCATTGCATCAACTTCGTTCAAATCGGAAGTGATTCTAGTATTAGTGGAGAGCTTTAGTCTTCCAGTGACGTTCGAAATGCTTCGTGAATCATCCGCAGGAGATCCCATCTTGCAGCAAGCAGCCAAATTCCGTACTAGTTAATGCCTGAGGGACAATCTCGTCGGTGAGTTACACATTTTGTCCAGGAGGAAAAAGGAGCTATCTATCGTTAATAGGTGTTTGCTTCTGGCCGTAAGAGCTGTCATTCCAAAGCAGTTTCGTCAGAGATTCCTTCAGCAATCTCACCGAGGTCATCCCGGAATCAACAGAATGAAAAGCAATGCACGAAGTTTCGTCTACCGGCACGGCAGTTTCCCTTGAATTGAGAGAAGTCATAAATTTCTATGATCGCGCAATCTTGTGGTAGTCTAGTGTTGAAGTGTACGTTGTGGAAACGATTTTCCAAAGAAATCAAGCATCAGTGGCTGGGCATGCAGGAACGACACCGAGGCATCTGTTTGCGACCCTAATAGTCATTAAAGCACCAGACGGTGGATATCCCAGGTAAGTGAAGTATAATAAAACTCACCGTTGACTTTGAGCACAACGTGATCCTGCGGACTAGTAGGCGTTAGTTAAAACGAGGTCTGCGTGCTGACAGCGCAGACTAGCGGAACAAAAGGACTAAAAAAGAGGCCGGAAGGGTAGCAAGTACCGAGGATCCAAATGACCCGCACCACCGGTCCCAGAAAAATGTGCGTCAGTAAGACGATCAGAAACAGCACTAAAACACTTGTTCCCAAGAAAGAACACCATCTTGTTCGTCGGGTGGAACACTTCCCAGAAAAATTTGGTCAGCCTCTTGATCTCGGACCTCTTCCTGTTCAGTTTGAGCAGGTTGGATTAGGGCGGGTCAGTCTAGGAGCTCCATCGAAGTGTGCTGTGTAAAACGCGATCATAGCACTCAACTGCTTTCGCGCTTCCCGTCCGGATTTCCATTCACCCGTGGGGGTGAGGTGCTCTGCAAAGCATTGATCCACAGCTGAAGTGAATCGATCAAAGTGGAGGTATATACGATGGGTAGCCGCGCCGTTTGTACTAGCTATAGGGGTATCAGGCCGAAGTTAGTAGCGAGAAGTACAATGGCTTCAATTATCGTACGTCGGCTTACTGCAGGACGAGGATTTAGAAATAAAGAAGAGTAGGCCGGTTTCCAACCAAAGCGGGGAAGTATGGATCTTATATTTACTCTGAGACATATGTTAGAACAGCGTCACACGTACAGCGGACAGATTATAGCTAAATTACTTGACCTATAGAGTTGATCCAAATAAGTCGATCAATTTATTCTGTTCGGCATACTAACACAGAAGGGCATTCTCATGAAATGTGCGAACATTTTACGTAGTCTGTATTTGAACACAACTGGTTGTACTAGGGTCTGTGGCGAGTAATCGGATGCGCTCCCGACAACAAGCGGCGTTCGTCAGAGCTATCAAAATTCTCATTTTGTCTAACTGTGCTGTGAAATCCGTGCTGGAGTGTTCCGTTGCGGAATATCACGACGCTGGCGTTGAGGTGGTGTTTGGTAGAAAACTAGTCGATCTGGATTATGCAGAAGATATCGTCTTACGGCTTGAGGCAGCCTAGTCAATTCTGTATAAAGTACCTGAAGCGCTCCCATTATAGGAAATGTGCTTCGCACTTTCAAAGTGCAAACCAACCACTAGATGATCCCTTGACGCTTGACAATGAGGAAGCTGAGGCAGGTGATCAAGTTACCTACCTTGGAGCCTCACCAGCAGCGATGTCCGTGTGGTTGTTTAGATTAGTTCACGTACTGTGAGAGCTAGAAGAGCCTTCTCGAACCTGTGACATCTGTGGCGTCAAAAGGTGATTCCCACGGTCTGAAAGACTGTGTTTATAAGACCACAGTGGGGCCCTCCTCTATGGTAGTAAAACAGCCCCATCAGCCTGAGGAGCTGAGGCACCTTTAAGTCCTCGATCGTTGCTGTCTACGGAGTATTGATGGTGTCGAATGGCACCAGCGTAGCCGCAACAGTGATGTGCGTAGTACTAGTACTATGCAGTCATAATCGGACTAGTTCCTTAGAACAACATATAGCTCTGAAGAAGTTGTGTTGGCCTAGACACGCGATAATCATGTCTGGCCATCGGTTATCGAAAAGGGACTTGTATTGTCTGCCGATTTAAAATGGCACAAGGTTCGAGGTGGGCAACAGTTGATTTGATAACAAAAAATGAAGTCACTGACGACCAAACTTGGTGCCGTTAGCCCGTCTCACCTTTCAGGCTTGAGTCCACGTGACCCGCCTTGTACTTGGCTTGCAGTCGGCACCAGTGGCGTATCTGCTGTGGCCTCCTGGTCATATTGCGTGTTAAAAGTGTGTTTGGTGCTGTGATATGTGCAGAGTAATGGCTATAACGAAAAAGCTGTCTCGCTGATGCTGCCTTATCTTTGCACGATAACCACGTGTTCAAGATGGTACGTTGTCAGCAAGGTATAGGTGTTTTGACCATGTATGTTTGCTCAAAGCACTATTCTTCCTTCCGTAGGTCACCATGGTTGTACGGCAGCGAAGCTTCAATCCAAATGGTTGATATACTGTTGTTGTTATCTAATCACCTATACTGACCTAGTTCTACTGTTCGCATGTCTGCCTATTTTCAAACTGGTTTTGGGCTGCTTCTCAATACCGCACTTAGTCGAATGAACCTCGGTGTTGGTCAAGAATCAGATAAAATGCATGAAGATACTGACCGAGAAACTCAGTGAAAGCGTACTAACTCCATACACAGAAACGTTTGGAATCGTGACGTCGGTGGTTTTTGGCGCTATTCCACCCGTCCTCCTGCCTCCGAATCCCCGCTTTGCCATCTGATCATCGTGAGATTTTTCAAAAACCGTATAACGAGTCAGTTTTCCTTAACCCGTTGATAATAATTGCCAAAATTGGATATGAAATCAAGCTGGATACGGATTCACTATAAGGCAACTTGGAAGTGGGCCAAATATTGAAAAATACAGTGTTTAAAAGTTCGATGAGTAGGGCGATCAATGACTAACAAGGTGGAATGGGCGTGGCTGTAATCGAAGTGGGTGTCAAGGATTTGCTCGGATAGGTAATTTTCAGGTCGAAAATATTAATAGAAAATCAGATAGCGAACAAAGATGGCGATTATGACACACATAATGTATCATGAGAGGCGAAAGGATCATTAAGCTTCCTCAGCACAAGTAAACACCGTTAAGTACCAGTCAAGCTAGTAATAGGAGCCTTAGAGTAAAAAGACTGACTGGAAAGTTCAGGGAGAGTAGATCAGGAGATGAAAATGCAATCCCCTTTGCCGACAAACATACCAATGTGCCCGACACGGTTGCAGAATTTGCATCGAATCGCCATGTTAACAGCCGCGCGACTGTCTTTAAGGGGGACACGTTCCTGAAGAGATGGTTATCTCAAACAGTAACCCACAGTGGCGCACAAATAGATCATATCAGAAGACTGTTCGCCACAACTATCACATTTGGGCTGTCAAATAATGTAAGCAGAAAAAAGCACGTTACCTGTACATACCACCGAAAGTCATCGCCTGATGGGGCTAGACTTGTCACATTTACGAGATCGCATTTTAATTGCAGACCCAACCTCTGAAAAAGTATTCCTTTGTAAGTTGACAACGTCTAACCATGGGGTTATGGATTTCCACAAGGGCTTGACAAATGATTCAGAGAGCAAGGGAGGCTGCAAGTATAAGACAGAAAGGAATAGAAAATGGTAATGCGAGTAAAAGTCGGTACAACTGACGGAACTGAATAAAAAGCAGTGCCCAATGAGCAGTCAAGGTACGATTGGCCCACATCCAGGCGGTGGTTGATCCTCTAGCGGAGGGTTGTATCTGACTCAGTTTTCGTGATACGTGGGACGAAATCCGTGCTTATCGTTTTACAGCGAAACAGTCACTTCATCGGAATGTGCTAAATGGAAAGTGAGCCACAACAAGTATTACATGGAACGAAGTAATAAAGTTTTAACGAACATTTTCATCAGTTTCAACTAAGTTAGTGTAAAGCGCGCAACGCTACGGTGACCATGCGACGAGATGAACTGGCACCAGTCGTAGGCGGTTGAATACGTATCAAATAGCCATTGTCACTCTTAGGGGAAAGTAAGGCTGCCCATGCTGAGTACGAATCGGCCACATAGCTGGTAACATGGCAAGCAAGGCTTAAAATATAGATTTGAAGTGTCATCTGCGCGAGGATGTCCGTCGCAGGTGTTCAATACCACATGCCATTGTATCCTACCGGTTACGAAGCATGTACACTTAGGATATCCAGAAATAGGCTGTTCCTGGTTTTTTCACCTAAAGTAATACTTAAGGACCGATTGAATTCGTGGTTGTCAACTTCAACTGACGCGCTGCAACTGGGAAACTCAGTGAAACCGTTGAACCCACTTATACACACGTACCACGTAATGTGAGGAATTCTGTTTTCTGGTCTATTCAGCAAATGTTACTCTTACTTCAGTTATACTACTCAGCTTCTAAGTCTACATTTTGCATAACAAGACGAAACGGAATTTGCCAACACGTGACCTGCCACCGGAGGCTGGTGCGTAAGATAACGGTGCTCAGGTTCAATCACACATCCTTCACCAAATATGCGACGCCGCTGTATACGTAAAAACGAATGCCTAGCAATGTATTTTAACACGCGTGATAATTTAATAAGAAGAAAAGTACATTACAGTGTCAGTAATACAGGAGATAGTAAAATGGGTACCGTTTCTCCAACGAATCACGGGCAATGCTGATTTTCAACACAGCAAATATTCCCATTGTAATCAAATGAATCAAGACCAGAAAACAGTTCAGGGTTAAGATATCTTTTCGGTAAAATCTCGTCAGACCCAAACTTTTACATGACACGGATTATGTGGGGTAAGCGTCAAATCGGGCTGGGATTGATTTCTTAGGTGTTTGAAAGGTCAAGATCGATGACTAAAGGTGGCTACAGATGGTAGGAAAAGTGCATCAAAGGAAATTAATACAAGCTTCAGGGCCTAAAGTAAATAGCTAAGGTCACAAAGGGTAGTTAGGTAACCATGTCAGTCGGCCAAGGTAGTAGTATCGGCCGTATGAATCGTTTGTGTACGCATAATTCCGGCTTCAGATGATGGATGTAAATAGCCTCGGCGATAGACAAGATTTGCTTTCGGAAGCCTTGTGATAAGCGTTCCGTGTCATGTAAAAGTTTGGGTCTGACGAGATTTTACCGAAAAGATATCTTAACCCTGAACTGTTTTCTGGTCTTGATTCATTTGATTACAATGGGAATATTTGCTGTGTTGAAAATCAGCATTGCCCGTGATTCGTTGAAGATTTTGAATGAGTATCTGAAGTTCAGTACTCGGCTGGAGGAATCCAGGGTTGCATTGGACTTTCTTAATGAATGCGTACAGGCAAGCCGCTATCCAAAACACATTTGGAGAGAGATACGGCGCTGTGGCCTTTACCCAAACGCAAAAACTTTGAAGAGGCATGCACTTAATTATGTGGACACCATCCGCGTTAAAATGTCGGAGCTGGAGAGATTCATTTCGCAAAGGTTTCCATCGGTGTCAGGCTTGTCTGAGGATCTGCGACGGCCTTTTGAGGAATATGTGAAATTAGTTAAGCTGAAAGTGGGAGCAAGAAAGCGAAGGAAATTACTTAGTACGCTTAACAACCAAGTCCCATAATTGACCTTTCCGAATAACCCGGAACGGTATGTGTTCAACCTTTCCAGTGTAGTACTAAGCCCAACACAGCTGGAAGTGTTATCATTAGGCCCTAAGTTTTGTATTCCACGTAAGAAAATAGATCAGGCAGCCTTAGAAGTGCAGTTTGAAAGCTTAATGATACAAACTAGAGACCTGTTTCCAACATCTTCTAGTGATGTTGAGAACCTAAAATCTAGTCTAGTGAATAGCTGTCATGAATATGTTAAGGCTAAACCATCTAGTAATGGTATTATTTCAAGGGAGCAAATTCAGGCAATTAAAGAGTTACGGTTAAACAACGAATTAATTATCTCTAGACCAGACAAAGGATCCGGCATAGTGTTATTAGATAGGGTGGATTATATCTGTAAAATGCAACATATCCTCAGTGACGAACGTAAGTTCCAGAAGCTTATGGCCGGAAAGGACAACACAGGGGAGTTAGAGAAACAGTTGGCCGGCTGCCTCAAGCGAATGATGCAAGCCAAACTGATCACAAAGAGCGAATACGAAAAGTTGAAGCCTTCAGGTGGACACCTACCGAGATTATATGGCCTTCCAAAAGTTCACAAGGAAGGCGCCCCAATGCGTCCAATCTTGGACATGGTGGGTTCTCCTCAGCATTTGTTGGCCCAATGGATGGTGAACAAATTGCAACCGTTACGGGATATGGTTTGCACTTACTGCGTGAGAGACTCCTTCGAATTCATTGAGAAGATATCTGGACTCAACTTTACTAACAAAAGGATGATATCTTTTGATGCCCAGTCGCTGTTTACAAACATTCCCCTGCTCGAAACGGTGGAGTACGTGTGCGAGTTGACCCGGCAACTACCAATATACGCTAACTTTCCGGAGGATCTGCTAAAGGAGATACTATTTCGCTGCACGTTAAATGTTCAATTCATGTTCAATGGTGAGATGTACCGTCAAATTGATGGAGTGGCCATGGGATCTCCTTTGGGGCCGTTGTTGGCTGATATCTTTATGGCGAAATTAGAACATGGCCCACTCAGGACGCACATCTGTGGAACTGAAATGTACATACGGTACGTCGATGACACCTTCGTGCTTTGCGAATCCGAAAAGCATGCAGAACAGTTGCTGAAGGCCTTTAATGATGCACATGATAATCTACGCTTCACCTGTGAGCACGAAAATAAAAACCGTTTACCTTTCTTGGATGTAGAAGTCATCCGCAATTCGGGCGGCTCATGTAGCAGAAAGGTACACAGAAAGCATACGTGGACTGGACAGTACACTAACTTTCACAGCGCGGTGCCTTTACAGCACAAGAGGAGTTTAATCCGATCTCTTGCCTTCAGGGCGCGCAGTATTTGCACTCCGGATACCGTCAACGAAGAGCTACAGAGAATCAGCGACGCCCTTCGTGAGAATGGTTACCCCGATAAGTTTATCATGAAGCATATGAAAGAACGCAAGCGAAAGCCACCTAGAAGCATTGCTCCCAAGAAAGAGCTGTTCATACATTTACCATTTAAGGGCGATACTGCAGCTGATATCCTATCTCGACGTTTGAAAGATGCTGTTGAGAAAACTTATTTCGCAGCCCGCTTAAGAATTGTTTACCACAACAAACCATTGCTTGCAAAACCCTTGAAAGATAGTCTGCCATCGTTGACCCGTTCAATGCTCGTTTATCAGTACTCGTGCTCTTGTGGTGCACGATACGTGGGTCGCACAACGAGACGTCTATCCCAGAGGATTCGCGAGCACATCCCGGCGTGGTTTTACAAAGGCGAGATGAGGGTCTCAGACAGCTCAATCATGTCGCACCTCCTCGAAAGTGGCCATACTGCATCTGAGAATGACTTTAAAGTCATCTATTTACTACCTGAACGCTTATCACAAGGCTTCCGAAAGCAAATCTTGTCTATCGCCGAGGCTATTTACATCCATCATCTGAAGCCGGAATTATGCGTACACAAACGATTCATACGGCCGATACTACTACCTTGGCCGACTGACATGGTTACCTAACTACCCTTTGTGACCTTAGCTATTTACTTTAGGCCCTGAAGCTTGTATTAATTTCCTTTGATGCACTTTTCCTATCATCTGTAGCCACCTTTAGTCATCGATCTTGACCTTTCAAACACCTTAGAAATCAATCCCAGCCCGATTTGACGCGTATCCCGCATAATCCGTGTCATGTAAAAGTTTGGGTCTGACGAGATTTTACCGAAAAGATATCTTAACCCTGAACTGTTTTCTGAACCGTTTCTCCTGTGTGAGAGTCACACGTACGACAATAGGGATAAGCGGAGTAATCAACTGCCCAGTTCTGTAAAAACAGTATGCAAAACACCAGATCGGGGTCTGTGAAGAAGTTCAGTTTCAATTGGGACTGGAACAGTATGCACGTTCCTTTGTGAGTGCGTCGTTGAGCTAGACTAAGTAGCAACGGTAATATTTGTTCACCGCGGGCTTTGCGTCACCCTACATCTGGCAGGCAAAACAAGGTCCTCCTCGGTAAGCGGTGACAAGGCATACGTAGCACATGTCCGAGCCAACGAAACTTATTCAGTGTTATCTGCTGTTCTAGGGAGCTAGCATGATTATCACAACCTAGTACTCGCCTACGCACATCATCGTTGCGGACACGCTGGTGCCAC